TAGTAGTAGTAGTAGTAGTAGTAGTAGTAGTAGTAGTAGTAGTAGTAGTAGTAGTAGTAGTAGTAGTAGTAGCTGCTTTTAATTCTATCCTACTTTGCCACTTGCAAGTTATTTCTTTCAAAATAGAAATATGAAGTAGGTAAAAGACCCATGTGGGAAGGGGAACAGCATTCACAGATAAGCCCCCCAGACCCACTCTTTGTGAATTTTCTCTTTTCAGGCTTATATTCCTGAGCCTTGGGTTGACAGCCCCTCAATCCTCACTGCCACCTATCTCTCCTGGGCCCCTGGGGCTCATGAACTCCCCAGCTCTCTTAGCCTAGAGTAATTGGGGCTAAGGAAAAAGGAAAGAGTGTGGGGCAGATCAGGTCAGAGAGGCTTCGGGGAAGGAAAACCAGGTCCATTCAGCCTTTATTCTGATTCAGATCCCTTTCCCCTTGACCCATCTTACCAAATCTTGGTTTACTCTGGTCTTATCTTAGGGCAGTGGGTTCTTGCCCCAGAGTCCATCAACTTTTTTATTTAGATTACTGTATTTAGATAACTGCATTTTAATGTAACTGGTTTCCTTTGTGCTCCTATGTATTTTATTTTCTGAATTTAAAAATATCATTCTGAGAAGGTGTCCACAGAATTCACCAGACTGTCGAAGGGATTCGGAACACAAAAAATATTAAGAAACCCTGACTTGTGGGATTAAGAGGAAGGTCTTCATACCTGTCCTAGGCCTGTTATTAAAAAAAAAAACAAAAAACAAATCTTCAAAAGAGAGACTTCTATGGCTCAGCTGCATAGACTTTTCCCCTTCCCTCCTGGAATATTCATGGCTAGTTATCAGCCCTCCTCTTTTCCCATTTTTAAAACCTAAATAGAGCCTTTGGGGTGAGGGTGGGAGTGGGAGGGAGAAATTCTTTGGGTCAGGAAGAAAAAAACAGACAAGCAAAAAGAGATCTGTGGTGGGATCTCTCCTCTCCATAGAGACCTCAGGGTTTCTTCCCCCTTGTCCCTTGTGGTAGGAAATGTCTCCGCACTCACAGCCCCAAGAATGACTCGGGTCCCAGAGCCTTTCTTCAGTGGTGAGGGCTCAAGGGTGGGTTTGACATCCTGCCTATGGAGTGCCCACCTGAACATGGCACTAGGATGGCTGACTTTATAAGAGGTAGAATGGTGCAATGGAGAAGCCACTCTGGTTTTGGAGCCAGAGGACCTGGGGGTTCAAATCCTGCCTCGGTCACCTTGGGCAAATCATGTGACCTTTCTAGCTTCAGTATCTTTATGTAAAATGAGCGCATTGGATGAGATGCGCTTGGGCCCCTTCCAGCTCTAAGGCAATGATCCACAGGCGTCCATGCCTTTCTGGAAGCTTGGTTATCTCCAGTATTCTGATGTAGCAAGAGGGGTCCCCTTTGTTCCCAGAGCCTAACATCTCACTGACCCAGGAGTCACAAAAGCAGCTGATCTGATCCGGCCCCTGTTCTCTATCCTCGCCCCAGACAATGGCCCCGTAGGGAAGCGGAGGACAGGCACAGCCACCGTGTATGTCACCGTGCTGGACGTGAATGACAACCGGCCCATCTTCCTGCAGAGCAGCTATGAGTCCAGCGTCCCCGAGGACATCCCCGAAGGCAGCAGCATTGTGCAGGCAGGTGGCCATGACCCCGGGGCAGAGCCATGGGTGGGGAGGGGGGCTGACAAAGAGGACAGAGGACAGATCCTCTCTTCAGCCCTCATCATCACACATCAGTCCTGAAAAAGGAAGGTCAAAGGGATGGAAGAGGGAAGGGAGAGAGCGGGAACACAAGGACTCGGGGAAACTGAGCTCAGAAGGAATTAGAAATAAAACCAGGGGAGCTGACACTCCCCAGCGTTGGGCCAGACCCACCTCCAGAAGGCCTTGGGCCCCTGTTGCCTGCCTGCCCACTCACTCTCACCTTCTCCACTGGGCACCCACACTGATGCAGTAATAGGCCAGGCCCCTCCAGGGGGGCACAGTCCCTTTAGTTTGCCCCTCTTCCCCCCCGTGTTGGCTTTCCTGTCCAGGGAGGGCTCTTCAGATCCAGGCTGGCAGGGACAGCTTCCCAGCTGAGGGAGGAAGGGAGGGTGACATAGGGGTGGGTGGTAGGAATGTCAGATTTTCCCGGAAGGGAGGAGACAAGAGGGAGGCACAAGCCAGGATTCAGCCACAGCCCAGAACAGAGATGCTTTCATCAGGCTTTGGCTATAGCTTTCCTCAAGGGAAGTAAATAGGCTCAGGAAGAAAGGGCCCCTTTGCCAAACTGGTAGGAATGAGAGCCATGAGGATTTGAGAGAAGGGAAAGGGAATGGGTGATTTTTTTTTAATGAGGGGGATGTATGTGAATGCCATTCACCATCCTCCCAAACACACACACACACACACACACACACACACACACACACACATATATCTAGGGATACATCAGCTGCTGGAGTGGGGCGGGGGTGGGGAGCAGAAAGATGAGTTGGGAATGAATGACTGTTTTCAACCATAGCCCAAGGGTTTCCGACTGTGAAGCCAAGCCAACAAGTAAGGCCAAGACTAGCTGTTTCAGCCTCTCCTGGGAGGGCTGCTCAGCCCACTCAGCCTCAGATGAGGATTCTGGGGGGTAGGGGCTGTGCCTGAACCCAGGACCATGGAGGGGAGCAGAGAAGGTTGGTTCCTGTGGGATCATAGCATTCACAAGTGGACAAAAGAGCAGGAGAGATGAAAGAAGGGACAGGGAAAGGTGGGGAATTTCTAGCCCTTTCTTGCCATCTGAGGATGGTGGGAAGGTTCTCAGAAAAATGGACAAGGAGATAACATTCCGTTGCTTGGAATTACCAGCTATAAGGGTTTACATCAAGCCATGTTAACGCTGAGTCCCCTGGTAACATAGAAGTGCCCCTTCCATCCCCTGACCCAAAAAAGGAGACTTTCCCCAGGCTCCTTCTCCCTTGAAAGAGCCCTAGTTCTGGAATCAGAAGATCCAAATCCAAATCCCATTTCCACACCTGAAGGACCTTGGGCAAATCCCTCCTTGTCTCTGGGCTTCACTTTCCTCCTCCAAAGATTCCTTCTGGCTCTAAGCCTGTGGATCCACCATCCTTAGGTCCCATATTTACTCCCAGTGTTTGAAGGGACTTTCCTACTTTCTCATCAGCCTTACTCTATCCCAGAGCCTGGCTCTGAGAGCCTGCTGGAGCTTGGGTCTCCCTATTAACCTTTGCAATTCTTCCTTCCCAGCCCCCTAGCTCACCTGGTTTCTGTGCCTGCCCACTGGTGAGCCTGATGCATCACTAGCCAGCATGGGCATGTGTGTTTAGAAGCAGTCACTCCAGAGAGGAGAGCATGATTTTTCAACATTGCCTATGAATCAGCATCCACTTCTGTTCTATAAGGCAAGGCTGGGCGTTAACAAGGACAGGGCTAGCCTATTTGTTCAAGAGAAAGAGAGCAGGTCCTTCCATCAGGCAGACTTCTACGCGTCCATATTCCAACCTCAAATAATGAGACTTTATTCACCCAGTATTGTTTGAAAGAGGAAAAAATCCCCTTCAAAGTATATAACTAAAAGGTTATTCGTTATTAACAACTCGAGTTCTTTTTTCACAAGAGGGGAAACAAAGACAAAGGTTGAGTGATTTGACCAAGATTCCCTAGGGACTTAGTGGTCAGGTCAAGGTGAGTCCTTGAAGCCAAGGACAGAGAGGGAAAGAGGAGGAGGTCACAGTCTTCAGAGGTGGTTGGTCTTCATTGGAGGATCCATCCCAAGGAGGACCAGTGAATCAGTCCAACAGAGCTCAGTTCCACTGGATACCTTGATGGGGGTGGTTGTCCTCATCTCTTTCCTCCCCATCCCCTTTTGCTTCTGGGAGGGCCAGGAGGAGCAGCTGGAGGCAATCTGTACTCTTCCAAGGGTGGGTTAGAACCTCTCAAGCATCACACCTTCCCCAGAGCTGACACACAGATATTAGTAGTGCCAGGATGGGGACACCCTATCACCCAGGTGAGCGTGGTCCAGATAAAGGAGGAGCTAGAAAGTGAACCGTAGCTGGTTCTGGCTGCTTCACATCCCTTGGCAACCCTTAAGCCTTGTCCTCTGGCCCACAGACCTGTGGTGGAGAGTGACACCCTCTTTGTTTGTCATCATACAATAAATATAGGCACCACTTAGGGGTAGGAGTGAGGGGAGGGAGCAAGCCCTGCCTTTGCAAAAAAGGGTGATGACAAAGAGCTGGCACTTTGTTCTTAATATTTGGTGGCCATGGATTTGAATATTGTGTCAGATGGGTGAGTTAACTGGGGGAGGGGCTAAGAATGATCTGGGCTTCCTGGGAGCTCTGTGTGACCAGGTGCCCATGGACACAGTGATGGACAAGTGTGTCTGAGGAACTTGCCTTGGTGTGATCAACAGAAGCACTCCTAGATAATGGGATTAGTTAACTAATTGTCCATGAGGAGGATATAACTCAAAACCTGCCTTCTCTCTACTTGGTTATAGCCTACCTCTAGTTTCTATACACTTCCGTATTTTATTTTTTTTTTTATTTTTTGACCTGGACCTGTGATTTTATAGTAGGGCTTAATTATTTGAGTTTCATTTTGTAGCAGGTGCTTAATAAGTGCATGCAGAATGTGAGAGGAAAAAATATCATCTGACTGGGGACTACTAGTATGGAAACTCTCTCCACTGAGTTATCTGGGACATTGAAAAGTTGAATGACTTACATGTGATCACACAGAGTCACCACTAGAACCCAGGTCTTCTAGACTCTGAGGTTGGCCCTCTATCAGCTATGTCATACTGCCTCTTATATGGCCCTGGTCACTGACTGGCAAAATTGGTATGTAATACAGTCTTCAGACCCTTGTCCCATCCAGTTAATAAACACCACAAGTAATTATGCACTGTGCATTGTACATGCTTCTTTTTGACCACAGAAGAAGGAACTGGCTGAGAAAGGGGCTCTAAGGAGAAGCCTAAGGTCTGCAGAGCACCTAGGGTGTTGCCCATTATCACTACGGGCCAGTAATACACTTCCCCTCTCTCCCAAACCCATTACACTCCTGAAGGCTGAGCAGTAAGTAAAGGGTCGGGCAGAGGCAATAATGGGCGAGCCTCTTTTCCCTTAGGAAATGAGAGTGGCTGGTGACATTTCTAAATCAGAGCTCAGGTGTCACTTACAGCTGCAAACAGCACCTCGTCCTCTGGCCTGTCACTTTCTGACACCATGCCAGTGACAGGCTCTGATAGGAGCCTCTTAACATATCTGAAGACTCCCCTACCTGATTGATCCTGACTCCTTCTTATTGAAGGAGTGCCTCCAGACACATCTGCTGAGATCATGATTAGATATAAATATATGACAGCCTCTGGCTCCCTCCCCCTCCAACGGGCACCCAGGCACTGCACAGGGAACACAAGGCCCCAGATGTCTGGAGCCTGGCCATCCAGCAGCCAGCTGGAGAATGGACTGACACCCCTGGTGGACAGGAGGCTCCCCCAATTGTCAATCAAGGCTGATGCTTCCTAGTGGGCAGTCCCGCTATGGAGGAAACTCTCCCAAGCCTGGTAGGGATCAACCAGGACAATGAAGTTTAGGTGACCTTATTGATGGTGCACAGAGCAGTGTGGATGGAAATGGAATGGAGAGCCAACCTTAGAATCAGGCGTACATCGACTCTGTAATCCTGGGCAAGTCACGTCCCTTCTGAGTCCAGGCAACTCTCTAAAGACCATGAATGGCAGAACCAGTGCTTTTCTGCATTGGTAGGGGGAGTTTACCCGCTGGAAGTTCCTTATACCAGTGAAATCAGAGGTCTAGTTTTTTTTTTTTTTTAATGGCCAATGTAGGATCTAAGGTGAATGTGCCCTAGGGTAAGAGCATCTCAACATCCATTCCAGACCCCAAATTCTATGATCCTGAGTTCAGGGAACATTTTGTATTAAAAGATCCTCCCTTTCCCCAAATAAGGACCCTGATCCAACCCCTCCATCTATGAAGCCCCATCCGGTTTGGATACATCATTTTAGAAGGATGTCAATATACTGGAATATGCCTGAAGGAGGGTGCTAGCATGAAAAGACTAGTTGAGGGAAGTGAGAAATGTCAAGCCTGGAGAGGAAGGAGCCAAGGAGAGAGGTCTCGTTTTCAGATACTGGAAGAGGAAATAGATTTGTTCCTTGTGACTGGAGAGCAGAAGTAGGAGCAGTGGGTGGGAGGCACAGGGAAGTTGGTCTCAGCTCAGTAGAAAGGAGGATGTTCAGCCCATCCTAGCTGCTGATCCAGTCACAGAGCTGACCAATAGTGAAACTGGCTGACTCATGGAGAACCAAGTTCCCCATCACAGGGAGAATCACATGAGAGCCAAATAATCTGTCAGAGGACAGGATCCTCCATTGGATGGGAGGTGGGCTACGTTACCTTTGACTCTTACGGCTCTATTGGACCCCAGAACCCAGAGAAGTGTTGGGTTATAACTGAGGAAGCACGACCTTTGAACCCTCCCTGTCAGCCTTATGGGGACACCTTTCAGGGTCTCAGGGGAGCATTCTTCTGTCATCCTCAGGGACCCTGGAGCAAGACTATTCTACTGAGAGAAACAATATATAGATGGGGTAGTGAATGGAGAGATGAATTCATTACCAAAAAGACCTGGGTTCGGATTCTGTGCCTTCAGCCTATTGCTATTGTTGTTCAGTCATTTTCAGTCACGTCCAACTTTTTGCGACCCCTTTGAGGATTTTCTTGGCAAAGATACAGGAGTGGTTTGCCATTTCCTTTTCCAGCTCATTTTACTGATGAGGAAATTGGGGGAAATAAGGTTAAGTGACTTCCCAGGGTCACATAGCTAGTAAGTGTCCGAGGTTGTATTTGAATTCGGGTCTTCCTGACTTCCAGCCCAGCACTCTATCCACTGTGCCTCCCGTATTGGCCGACTGACCCCGAGGAAGAACAACTTCACCTCTCAGTACTCTAGACAACAAAGGCTAAAAGCTTCAGGAAGGCGATGACTTGCATTGGTGAAGGGAGTCTCCAAATCTGGGAGTTCTCTATCCCAGTGAACTCACAGGTGTAGTCCCTACCCCCTATAAGTAAGTCCAGGATAGATACACAGGTGACAGGGTAGGCAAGAGGGAGGGCATTAGGAACATGGGCAATCAGGAGGAGCTTAATGTGGGAGATGGCAGTAGCCAAGCTTTGAAGAACCATCCCAGATACAAGAGAGAGCCTGTGCAAAGCCCCGGAGGTGGGAAATACAGTATGAGCAACACCAAGCACACCAGTTTGACCAGAACAAAGAGGGTGCAAAGGGGACCCATGGGTAAAAATAGCCTGGAAATGGAGGGTGGGATGCGATAGTGAAGGGCTTTAAATGTCAGGCAGTAGAGTTGTCATTTAATCCTGTATACAATAGGGAAAGGGGAGAAGCATTTATTAAGTGCCTACTGTATACCAGGAGGGCACTGTGCTAAGCGCTTTATAAATAATATTTCATTTGATCTCTGAATGGGGAGTCACTGCAGCCTTTTGGAGAGGGAGAATGGCCTGGTCAGTCTGCGCTTTAGGAAGTCAATCTTTCAGCTGTGGAGAGGATGAGCAGAGAAGGAAGAAAGGTCTCAGGTCTCATTTTCTTTCATGAAGAGAAAGGCATTTGAGTGTTGTACACCACAGTAAAAGGAGAAGACAGAGCATTCCTTTTATTCTCTCTGACTTAGAAACTTGGAGCATGTGCCCTCAGCCAAGAGACCAGAGTCCAGCCGTCCCCCAGAATCCTTGCAGGAAGCGAGGGTGTGGCAAGAGCAGAGGGTCTTAGGCCATCAGGGAGACTACTCCGTCACCCCTTATCCATCCACCATGGAGTCACCAGGAGTAAGAACGTGACAACAGGCTCTTTACTGATGGTCCAGAGGACCCGCTTTGCCTTTCATCTGGGCGTCCCTACACGCAAAGGAGGCTCCCTCCCAGGCCCACCAACCCCTCCGCCAGAACTCATCCCTTTATAACTTCTCCTTCCTCCTTCAATCAAGCCAACCCCACCAGCTGCAGACTGCCAGCTCCCTTCTCCTTCCCCCAGGTACAGAGAGGGATTCCTACTGATTAGTGTTCCAGCTGCACAACAAGATAGAGCTCGGCATTACCGGCATAATTACCTCCCCTCTGGGAAGCTCATCCTCTTCGCTTCCCTGTGTTGTTCATTACTTCTATGGCCTTGCCTGTTGCTGGGCCAGGAAGAGATGGCAGAAGACAAGGGACCAGTTGGGAACTTGTACTTTAAACCAGATTCTTCCTTTACACAGGAAGTCCTGGTTCTTAGTATACATAGCAGTCTGTGCTCTCTGTAGTCAGGAAAGTTCTGTGCCCCAAGAGCCAAAGGGCACCACTTTCTGCAGCCTGAAAGCTCCATCTCTCCTGCAATGGTGGAAGTGAGCTGATGGGTGTAAGAGGGGCATGAGGAGGGCATCCTGGGATCACTGAGCCTAGGACAAGAAGAACAAGGAGGCCTCCTTCACCCTCCTAGGAGATAACTCGTTTGTACCAGCCCCCCACTCATCCTTATCTCCTGCCCAGACCAGTCTTGAAAATTAAAGTAGAGTCCTTTGTGGAGAAGAGCTTGCCCCAGGAATCCTTAGCTTTGGGACTCAGACAGTTTTGACCTTGGTTGGAAGAAACCTCTGAGCTGAACAATGACTTTGGACTGTTTCAGAACTTTCTCTGGAGATAGGAAGGAGGCAGCCTGGAAGGATGGTAGAATGTTGTGTCTTCAACACCCAAAAGATGGATTTTCGAAGGGAAGTGGGGAAGCCTGGAATGGGCTTTTCAGGAAACATTGCTCCTTCACCAAAGGGCTCTCCAAGGGAAATCCTTGCTTTGCTTGCTGGATACATCCTGCCAACCTGGATACAATTCTTCAGTTTGTCACTGGATAGACCTTTCAGTGAGAAGCAAATGACCACATCCAAGATCTATATCTGGGGTGGAACCGTAGAGTTCAAGGACCTTCAGCTTTTTTTGTACTTTTTCTAAGGAGAGAAGGGTTGAGTTGGGGCTAAGTGGGGTCACAGTGGAGGTGGGCTGCCCAGTAGACCAGCTTTTGGGGAGGTCACCCCACCCACACTCCTCCATCACTCTTGGGGAACCTAGATCTGGGACAGGGACAAACTGACCTCCATCCCCTCACTCTACCACATCACATCTTGGTTGATTCCATTAGGCTCCAATCTCGATCAGGTAGGGGCTGGTGGATGGCCGGCCCAGGGTGCTGAGAGCCTGGCCGGCCACGGCGGAAGCTGTGAATAGACTGGCGCAGGGAGCCAAGGCGCTTCCAGAAGCGGAGCTGGGGCTCACTGGGCGTCTCCGGGTGGTAAGGCATGCATTCATGAGGGCTGTGGCGGGAGGGGTCCATGGCTGCCGGCTTGCAGAGGGTGACAAAAAGCAGAAAAGTTGCCAGCAAAAGGAAGATGCAGGCCACCGCAATGATGATGGACAGGGGCTGCGGAATCTCCCCTGGGGGCAAAGGGCTGGGTGAAGCAAGGTCAGCAGAGGTCGAGTTGGTCAAGAAAGCCTGGCTGAGTGTTAGGGAGCTCTTGTGGTCAGGTTCCGCAGTGCTCATCTCTCCTGTAATCCACATACAATAGAAGGGCTCAGAAACCAACCTTGACACAACAGTCCTATGGGATGGATACTCTAGGCATCATCTCTCTCCAATTTACAAATCAGGAAATTAGATTACGGTGGTTAAGTGACTTGTCAAAGGTCACACAGCCATAAAGTTTCAGGCTCAACATCATCCACTCTGCTGCCCTCTCTCTCTAAAGCTCCAGGAAAGAGAGCTGGACATGGGGTATAGAGGACAGAGAATCCCCTACAGAATCTGGGCTTTGTAATCAGCTCTTGTGGCCCAGAAGATAAAGTCCTAGGCTAGAAGTCCTGGGATCTGGTTCTTGGCCAACTAGTGACATTGTATGATCTGAAATGTCATTACACCTCTCAGAATCTCAGCTTTCTCCCCTACAAAATGAGAAGAATCATCCCTCCTTCTCCTCCTCCCTCCCTCCCTCCCTTCCTTCCTCTCTTCTTCCTTCTCTCCTTTCCTTGCTCCCTCCCTCATCTTCCTCCCTCCCTTTCTCCCTCCCTCTCTTCCACTCTTCTTCCCTCCTGTCCTCCCTTTCTCCCTTCCTCTCTCCTTCCCTTCTTCCTTTCCTCCTCCCTCTCTCCATTCCCTCCTTT